ACTATCCATTTTTTATAATACTGTTAACAATTAGTATACTTTATACGAAAACAATTTGTTTTTAACCAACCAATGGTAAAATTTTGAACTTGTAAGATTCATATTATGGGGTACTATTTAAAGACGAGTGGAGGGAGCCCCCCCACAAGCTTTTTACGGGAAACAAATTATGGAAAATGATACAAGGGCCCAAAATTGTTGGCCCCTCCAATAAAAATTTTCTGGCTACGTGCCTGCCGTTGAGTATGACATCAAACAAATTATTTTATTCAGGTAGTAGGACGGTGACTGACAAAGATGGCTTAGGCGAGGGATCGTGTCAATATATTATACAGAGTGATCTACTTCACAATTTTCTTGGAAACTATTGAAAATTTTAAATTTTTGCAAAGAAAAATATTATTTGACTTAAAAAATTTTATGACAAGTAGTTAAATTATTTTTCTTGCGTCTCTTCGAGAATAAAATACCTAAACTTTAATTTTCTTTAATGGAAACACTATTTTTAGTTTGACGATACGATAGAAAAATCAATTGTAAACAATTTTGTTCTTATTATTATTTTTATCTGATGAACCATTCTTCTGTTATTAGTTGTTTAAGAATAGTGAGTTCTTCTTAAAAAAAAAAATATTATTGTATAATTGTGCTATAAAACATAGTTATTTAATAAAGTGTAGTCTATAATATTGACACGGCGACCTGTAATGATCGATCGGTAACGCGTTGTGCCTCAAGATTCGATTCAATACCGTCGATCTATATACCCAACCGTCCTCCCATACAAGAATTGTTTCCTCTCAATTAAACGTTAGGACTAAATTTAAAAATAATTAATTAAAGAAACGACTAGCTACAATTACATAGTATATTTCTAAGTAAGCAACTTTTAATAATTAATTCTTTATAAAAACTTTATATGAGACTATTCGCAGATTAACACTATCACAGTCAATACCTGACAACTGATGACTGACGCCAGAGAGTGCTAGCTGGAAGGCACTATTTTTTTATAGGCGACTACCTGGTCAAAAAAAAAAAATCCTTACATTTTTTAGTTGAGAAGACATTAAATAATATAAAAAAAGATTATATAATAGACTTAAGATTATAATCTTAAGTCTAATAATTATTATGGTAATTATTATTGGAGCTGTGGTGGTTTCAGTCCCCATCATTAAAGATAATATTTTAGGAAAGAGTGGGTGATAAAAAAATATGGCAAAGCTTTCTATTAATTTATTGTTCAATATTATGAAATAGTCCCCATAGACAAAATTTTCAAGTAACGCTTATGTTTAAGGCTCTCTAACAATACTCTCATTAAAAAAATATATATATTTATAAAAATATATCTACTGCTTAAATTGTTTACAGATGTATCCACGTTTTCAGTAAAGAGCTGACGTTTCGGACTTGTACCGTCTGTAGTTTGTTTACGGTATGTTTTTATATCAGTTGATAACTGATAACATTGATGTTGCTTATCTGTTGTTGACAACTGTCAGTTTCTTGTTTACGGCAAGTCTTGCTAATAGCTTATCCAACTTCTCTGTTGTAATTTTCTGGGCATTTTTTGATGGACTATTACCAAGACTTGGTTACCTATCATACACCACACAAAAAGAAAATTAACAAACAACAAAGAAAGTAACTTAATGTGTGAAAAAACTACAATTTAAAACAGAAAATTGCCGATTTAGAAAACAAAGAGCTAAATGTCAAGAGTAGTGATGGGCATTTTTGAATATTTTAAACTATCGAATAATTTTTATACAACCGAAGTTTATTTTTGGCATAAACTATTCGAATAGACTATCGAATAGTTTTACCTAAAATTTTTATTAAGTATACTTAATTATAATAAGAAGATGATTAACGAATACTTATAAATAAATTATTATGCAATTAATAATAATAAAAATTAGTGATGGGCATTTTCAAATATTTTAAATTATCGTATAACTATTCAAATTGTGTTTATACAACCGAATAGTTTATTTTTAGCATAAACTATCGAATATTTTTACTATTCGAATACTTTTTGAATGACTATCGAATAGTTCGAATAGTGGACAACTATCAAATAGTTCTATATAGTGATGGGCATAATCGAGATATTCTGATTTTTTTAATAAATAATATTAGAATAATATTGATTATTCTATAATCGAGTGATTATTTCTAATGATTTCTCGTTTATTATAAAAACAATGATTTCTTGATCTTGAAATGTATATAATCGAATAAAAGTTATTTCGAATGATGTCCATGAAACGATGAAACGAGAGAATACTATTTTTAAGTTTTTATTTAGCATAAATTATAGTCGAATTATTATTAAATTGTTGACTTCGAGTCTTATTTTCAACTCGTTCAATCGCTACTCATGGCAACACCTTATCTGTCACATTTTTGGGAAGTATGTGACGATTAGAACAAAGTTTTGTCCTGAACTGGCTAAACTACTGAGTTCTGATTCTCTCACTAGTTGTGAATTTATGAAAAATCAATTAGGTGTGGAATTAGGTGTTTTAATTATGATGGTCAAGCAGGCTATTGCTACCTTATCTTATGTTTTTATTTTTAAATTTGTTATCGGTTTTTTTAAAATATAGGTAATAATTATTAAATAATAAAAATAACAACTTGTCTTTTATTTAAAGCACTTATTAATAATGCATTATTAATATATTATTGTTATTATTATTCCTAAATTATAGTTTAATATATTAATTATAAATAAACACCAACAAATAAAAAAAGCAAAATTAAATTAATAATTATTTACTATAGGTATATTTATTCATATTTCGTATAATTTTTCGATTCTCTCGATAAATAATAATAGTTGATTATTCTTATCATACGAGCAGACGATTTTAACTTCGAGTGATTTTTCGAGAGATTCACTCGATTATGAAAATGTCTCGATTACTAATCATTCGATTATGCCCATCACTAGTTCTATAGTTTCTATTAGATATTTTCCATCACTAGTCAAGTGTGCCGTAAACAACAACAAAAACAAAAACCGGATGTAAACAACATCGATGTTATCAGTTGGTAAATCAACTGATTTAAAAACATACCCTAAACAAGCTATGCTGACAGTACAACTACGAGCCTCTGACCATCGTTCTGAAAATGGACTCTACAATGAGTCCGAAACATCAGCTCATAAATATATATATATGTCTAAATATAGGTGGGCACACGGTAAAATGTTTAGGAGGCTAAAGCTTACATGTAAAAAAATACATATAAAATCTTCATTTAGAGAAATTAAAGCCCTTCAAAGCAGTAATGAGCGTTTTAACCATCACATATTTTTTATGCAACTATATATTTTATTTTTAGCATACACTATTAAATATTTAAAAAAACTACCGAAAGTTTAAAAACTATTTTTAAACTAACTAAAAACTAGTTTAAAACTAACCCGGCTACGCTGGGCACGATAAGTCTTTTGCAGAAAAAATATTACATCAGAATCAGAGTAACAAAAATATATTAAAAATTTTATTATTAAAATCAAGAAAATTTAAAAAGAGAATATACATAAAAATTATTAATATTCTAATTATAATAATCGTGTTTATATTATAAAATATGTGGGACTATGTAAAAAATTTAATTTTGATATATATATTGGTAACTGTTATTTAACGTTGGACAGCATAGTTGTTATCCCAATTTAAACGATAAACTCATAGACTTATATATCATATATGAGAAAAAAAATTTATTAATAATGTATAGTTCTGATAATGAAAGTACAAACTTAGATAATTATAATCGTCTTGAAATTTATGTATAACATGTAACATTCATCGATAAAATATAGTGCTATGTGCAAATGCAAAATAGTGTCCTAATAAAAATACATATTACACTAAATAATCAAGGTTCAGGATAAACGTATGAGCAGAAATTAGTCAATGCGCATATTAAAACCAATAATTCAAACCTTAAGTCGTAAAACGCTGGCGTCAGCGAGCGTTTTTCTCAAAAATGGTTGAAATTTTAAAACACTCGTGGGCGAACGGCAAAAATTTTCCGACCTTCACCAATAATTTTCCTGGAGTCTGGTTGAGTTTCGTAGAAAAAAAAAATTTTGAAAATCCGAGCACGCTAAATAATTTTTCCAGAAAAGCGTTTTTTTCCTTGTTCAATTATATAATAAGATAATACAAAAGGGTTACAAATACAGGTAGCTAATTGGTTTTTTTTTTAACGATATTCACAGGTATATAGCCTTTATTTATTATCAATAGTAGTAAGATACAGCTGTGAGTTTATAAATACACTAACTGCCAATACAGAAATTATATCTATTGATAGTCATAATTGACAATAAACACTTCGTGACTGTGACAGCGATGTCATAAAAAACTAAAAGTGAAAAATAAATATAGTTTAAAAAACTAAAAAACACGCTTTTAAAGTACATCGAACAAAAAAGTTAAAAATAATTTTTTAAAATAAACTTAGAACAATAATGAACGAAAAATATTAGTATTATTGTGAAAAAAAGCGTGGGTGCTTTGTGCCATACTTTTCGTATATTGAGCGCCGACGTTTTAAGTTTATTTTAAAAATCATTTTTAACTTTTTAGTTCGATATGCTTTAAAAGCGTGTTTTTTTTAGTTTTTTAAACTATATTTATTAATGTTTGTTGTTCATTAATTATGCATAAAACTGTTCTTTTCAATAAAATCAATGAGTTAAGGTTATAGATTTTTGATGTATCCTTCATACTCTCTGATATTACCATCCTTTAGAATAAGTACTTTATTTTAATTAAACAATACTTAAAACAAATTGTATTTTTATGTATATTTTATTTATTTTTTGCAAACACCGGTGTTAATAGTTCGGTACTATATTAATTTAGTAAAAAGTAGTTGGTATCACTGAGCTTAAGTTGGTAGATATCACTAGTGTGCTAGTAGTAAGTAACCAATGACGTGTCATCGATTATATTAATCCATAGTTTCTCTCTTTCTACATACATTATTCTACCTTAGTCGCCCTTCCGTTTTATCTTTCGTTCTTTCTTTCGTTTGCTGGCGACGACGTAACATCACATTTGACGTCGAACGAAATCAAGTTTCTTTCAAGATCACTTAAGTTTCATTACTGAGTACTGTAAGTATCAAATATTTGTTAATTGTAACATACCTATTTTTTTTAACTCTAGTTGTAAACCTAACAAGTTAAATTAGACCATCATTATGTTTGCTCAAGGTTTACGTTGTGTTAAATCCGCCATATTGAACCCAATCAATTGTTCATCAACATTGAAAGGCATTTCATCATCTCAGTTGTTCTTAAAAAACATTTCAATTATGTAAGTATCTAGCGTTTTTTTGTCTTTGTATACTTTGATAATTTTACCCGAGGTTCTTTGTAAAATTTTCTACTAGTTAGGTTATGCCATAGTGTGGTTACGGCGTGTTCCCATGTTCTTTAGAGCATTTTGTATCATAATTCAATTTTAACGTCACAATGAAATAGCATTTAATTCTTCTTCTTCTTCTTTTTCCTTTCCTTAATCCCAACTACTTGAGTTCGGCCACCCTTAAATAGTATTAAATTATTTAAAAATTTAAATAATTATAAATTTTTTTACAATGATTTTTTTTTTAACTATACATTCCATATTAATGCCTTTTATTTATAAAAACTATACTTTATTTTTACTTGAACGGTAGAAAATATATTTTGCCATTAAGTAATTGTTTAATATTGTTCAATCACTTTTTTTTTTATATGTTAAATATTAATTAATGTATTTTGAAATTATAAGGGAAATAATTTTCTCACAGTCAATAAAGTCTTTATTTTATATTGCTTACTATATTAAACAATTTTTAATGTCTTATTGCCATCACTTTCCAGTCTTCATTCATTTCAATTAAAATTAGGTATAGGTGGGATAGCTTTAGTGCTGCCATCTATCTGCCATTAAATATTCCTATTTTTATTTCTAGAGTATTTTCAAATAATCTAGTTCTATTTTCTGTATGACTCTAATGTGATAAAATTTACTATGATTTGACTTGACATGAGTCAAGGTCTTTTTAGCTTCATTTATTTTATGAATTACTTACACTTGTGATAAATTGTTTTCAATGTAATTTATTTCTTATTTGTTTGTTATTTATGTTATCTAAATGAATATTCATTTGTAGGTCTTATGCAAGAAATGGTAGAGGTAATAGTTCTTATGGAGGCGGTGGTGGAAGAGGAGGCGGTCAGCGATATGGTGGTGGTAGAATGGGAGGTGATAAGAAAAATCCTGGTGCAAATCTGCAAACCCCTAATTGGGACCGTGTTCAATTACGACCTTTCAAAAAAGAATTTTATGTTCCCCATCCTACTATTGATCGAAGGTAATTTCTTAACAATTCGTACCTTTTTATATCGAGTTTAATTTTTTTTGTCTGGTTAGATCTTATGAGGAAGTAGATAAATACCGTACTAGTAAGGACATCACAGTGATGAGTTCTGATAGAACTGAAGTTCCATATCCAATTCAACATTTTAAAGAAGCCAATTTCCCAGATTATGTAATGCAAGTTTTAGTTAATGAAGGTTTTAGTGAGCCAACACCAATCCAAGCTCAAGGTTGGCCTATAGCTATGAGTGGTAAAAATATGGTTGGAGTTGCACAAACTGGATCAGGCAAAACATTAGCTGTATGTGTATTATTTTTCATTTTAAATTGGAAGCCTAATATAACATTATTTCTAGTATACTTTGCCTGCTGTTGTTCATATTAACAATCAAGAGCCCTTAAAAAAGGGTGATGGTCCAATTGCACTTGTGTTAGCTCCAACAAGAGAATTGGCTCAACAAATTCAGAAAGTTGCTGCTCTTTTCAACCAATCCACATATTTACGATCCACTTGTATATATGGTGGTGCACCTAAATCTCATCAGGTATTTTTAAGTTGAATTAAAATTAATATTGCCTATTATTATTTATTTGTAATTATTATTTGCTGAATTTACTAATAACATGGTGTTTTGTTTTTGTTCGTTGCAGGCCGCCATTTTGAAATTCGGTTTTGCAGAACTGGTTTTTAATTTTTTTGCTAAAATAATTGAGTAACCTTAATTGCGCACAGTGTATTTGGATCATGACTTATTAATTATGTCGTGTTCATTCACCTGAAGCGGCGCTGCAAACCGAATTGATACAATTGATTTGTCAATTGGCGGCCATATATCTGTTGGTTCAACTAAACCGACACTTTTCAATCCTTTTCTTTAAGTTCTTTGTTTGTTCCTTATGCATCGAAAACTAAACCGTCAGCATGTCTTCATCGTAGCACTGAACAAACAGTAAGTTAAAACTTATTAGTTTTTTGAACCAGGTGTGTTCTCAGTGCTCATCGATGAACAACAATTTTTAATTTCTTCAGAAGAAAATAATAAATAACATAGAGTTGGGTTTAAAATATGTATGATAAAATATTGAACTTCTTAATTTCTTGATTACACCTTGTATTAAATTGAATATTATATAATTTACGTTTAAATTCTTAATAATAATTTTTTTTAGTTATTATATATAGTTAGTAAAGCCCTACCATTAGCAAATTAATATTTTAAAAATGATCTCGTACAAGATTATGTTAAATCTGTTAGTACACAATTTGTACTAACATGTGTAGATTAATAATTAGAACATATTATAGGTTATCCTGTTAGAATTAAATTTAACAATGAGGCACTACTTATTTTATTATTGATCTATTTACCTTTTTAAAAGTTCTAATCTAACTTGAGTCATATTTTTTTTCCCAACTCTGTATAAAATATTTCATAAATTAATATTAATATGTTAACACATTAGGCTAGAGATTTACATAATGGTGTTGAAATTGCTATAGCAACACCAGGCCGTCTACTTGATTTTTTGGAATCAAATGCTACTAACTTGCAACGTTGTACTTATCTTGTCTTGGATGAAGCAGATCGTATGTTAGATATGGGTTTTGAACCACAAATAAGGAAAATCATTCAACAAATTAGAGTAAATTTACTTTACTTGTATTTAGTTTTAGTTTTAGTTACAATAATTTTTTATTTAAATAGCCTGATAGACAAGTGTTGATGTGGTCTGCTACATGGCCAAAAGAAGTCCAAAAATTGGCCAATGACTTCTTAAGTGACTACATTCAGCTTAATGTAGGATCTTTAACATTATCTGCCAATCATAATATTCAACAAAATGTTGATGTCGTTCAAGAACATGAAAAAGAAGATAAACTTATGGATCTATTACAAGACATAAGTAACATGGATGAAAATAAAACCATAATTTTTGCTGAAACTAAACGAAAAGTTGATACAATTACCCGTAAAATTGTTAATATGGGGTAAGTTCAATTAAAATGTATTTCTATGTAAGCAGTTCCAAGATTGTATGATAAATATTTTCTTGTATACAATTTTTTTTTTTTTTTTTAATGGTTTTAGTTTTTAAGCTATCATGATTTTTTTTTTTTTTACCCCTATGTTTGTGTTATAAACCTACCATGAAATCTTTTATGTGGTTTAAAAATGATGATTTTTTTTTTTAGAACATACTCTGTGTTGTTTATTTGTCCTCTAAGAAGATCTGATTATTAAACCTATATATATAACGATTTTGTAAATGATGATAATCTTACATTAAACATGCCTAGTGTTGTTTTTTGTCCTTTAAGAAGATCTGAATTGCTATATTCAATTTAACATTTAATTACTAATCAATATTATAAAATTAATTAATTAAGTTAAGAAATTATTTTTAGTGCTAGAGCTGTTGGTATTCATGGAGATAAATCACAATCTGAAAGAGATCATGTATTAAAACAATTTAGAAATGGAAGAGCAAATATTTTAGTAGCAACTGATGTTGCTGCTAGAGGTTTAGATGTAGATGATGTAAAATTTGTTATTAATTTTGACTATCCCAATAATTCAGAAGATTACATTCACCGAATTGGTCGAACTGGTAGATCGTCTCAAAAAGGTACATCATACGCCTTTTTCACTCATTCCAATAGCAAGCAAGCTAAAGATTTAGTTGCTGTACTCACTGAAGCTAATCAGAGAATTGATCCTAAATTAGCTGCTATGGCTGCAAGATCTTATTGTAAGAATATATTTTATTCACATATTGAATTGATTATATCTAATTATAACTGTTTTGTTTTTTATAGCCAATGGTGGTAATAAATGGTATGGTGGTGGTGGGAACCGTTGGGGAGGTGGCCGTCCAGCACACAGAAAATTTTAAAAATAAGAAGCAGTATTCATTTATTGTGCACTAATGATCAATATTATGTCCCTTGACTTACTGATGTGAAATATTATTTTCTGTCTTATGTTGTATACTATGATTGAATTTTGTCTCATTCTTCTATTATTTCATCTGTACAATTTTGATGATTGTATTTGAGTAATTTGACTTTGGAAGAACTACTATTATATATTGAGTTTTCTATTAATTAATTTATTTTTTTCAAACCTATGACTTCTAAGTATAATATCTTTTGTATAATATCTAATCTGATATTTTTCTTTTATCCTAATATAATATGTGTAATCAAACAAACATATTTTGAATGAAAATTAAGGAATTTTATCTACTCAGTTAAAAATTTTATAAAGAAATTGAATATCTAATATTAAAGAAAATTTTGCTTAGTTTTATAAGATAGAGATTTAAAGATTTGGATAAGTTAAAGATAATAAATGGAGTATGAATAGCTTTAACCTGGTTATATAATGTAATCATTTTTTCTAAGTAATTTATCATTGAAAACAAGTATTTTAAATATGTTTGATATGAAATAAATTGCTGTTCTTTACTACTTAGTTTACAATTATTTTACTGAAAAAATCCTTCCACAATATCTAAATGGGTATATTATAAGTCTAATTTAATACAGGTTATCTAAGTCTAGAAGACAATCATTTTCTGAAAAACTAACTAGAGCCAAATTTTTATTTTTTGTAAATAGTTCACAAAACCATTATGTATTTTTTTTTATCATTTCGGGGATAAATATCAATAGTTTTCTTCAATGGGAACAACCTTTATTTTTAATAATGTAATATGATAGAAAAAAAGAATTAACAAATTTGATCCTACAATAACTTATACCGTATCAACCTTTTGCGTTTAGATATAGTTTAAAGATTAAATAATACATCATTAATTTGGTTTTTTAATACCAGTGGCCGTGCAATAGTATTGCTGCCGCCGGCAATAATGTGATATGGCTCATCAATTATTTATTATGGTAGTAGTCTAAAAGAAATTTCTGCGCTGGTTGTCTAAATGAAAAATAATAAGTCGCTGTTGAAATTTGTTAGTTCTTTTTTATTATCTAATTCAATTTTGATGCTCTAACAAAATGAAGATGTTAAATTCTTAACAGTATTTTGAATTCATTAATAAAAAAATAAGAATCGAAACATTTGTCATAAAATAAAATATATTTCTTTATCAATGTAGTGTGAATAAACTACAACTTCATTTAAAAACATGTCATAAATAGTGTTTAAATACATCTCTAAAACATAATTTCCGTGAATTTTAACAAAGACTACAGATCTATGGGTTGGTATTTTATTATAAGAGCATTTTACTAAGATAAATACCGTGTTATTTCTAAAAAATAAGTCCTCTAATTAATTTAAGATTAGGTATTGATATTGGGTAATGTACAAACGAAATATGTTTACATACATTTCAAATAAATAAAAATTATGTTTTCACAATGTAATAGTTTTTTCATAGGAATTATACTAAGGAAAATTATTTGCTACCTTTTAATTTATATCTTTACTACGTAATAATTTTTTTGGGGGAATAAGTGTCGATTCCTTCCCCCTCCAGTACTTCCTTCGTAAATTATAAATCGTCGTCTTGTTACTTAAACACCATTTAATGTACAAATTATGGTTTCAATTTAAAACTACTTAAATGAGAGTATTTTATACTTAAAGATCGTAATTATAATTAATCAGTTTTATGAATCGCATGATTGCATCTGACTCATACACCTACCCACCTTATTAAGATAATCTTAACAATTGTAATATCCACTATGCTGAATCATTACAATATAAATAATAACATATTATCTATAATATAGAAAATATATAAATATGATTTATTGACCAGGTAAGTAATACTCCGTGTAACTTGTAGGAGAACAACACGTGGAAGCTATCTCAAAATTCATTTTTTAATCTGACGCAATTATGTTACATTATAAGTTGTTTATTGTCTATAAATTTAAAATAATACAGGCAAAAAAGGAGTTATATAAAATAAATAATTTATTTTATAATGTAATATTTAAAAAAAAACCCAGCACAGTGGGGACGATGCATAGTTGGGTCCAGTATAGATTTAATCTGACAGTGATTAAAATCACTATCATAAGAAACGCTTCGATGCAAATCTGTAGATAGTGTTTAATTTTAAGAAATTGGTAGATTATTTCAAAAACAACAATAACTCTTATTCCCTTAATTTTATCCTGATAAGTTATTTAATTTAGTATTATAATATATGAATAAATAATAATTATAGTAATTAGATGTAGTATGAAATTCATATTCAATAATTTAATACTGTAATTTTTACGTAGATTTTATAAAAATAATAAATTACAGTAGTTGAATATTTATTTACTTATGACGCGTATAAAAAATTAAAGGGCTTGATGCAATACTTTTCAATTAAAAATGTTTGTTACTTATAACAAAGTTATAAGTTTTATACACTGGACTACAAGGATCTTTCATCAGAAACAAAAATATACTTTTCTATATTAACTTTTCGCGATGTTTTCAAATGTGCAATTCAACTTTTTCTATTACTTCTAAGTTTTAATATTGTTACTTATTATTGAAAAATAAGTATTTACATATAAAAAAAAAATAATTAAGAACACAAAAAAATTGTTTTAAATTAATATTGATTTTGATTATTAATATGTTAAAAATAAGGAAAATGACATATTTAACCTATTTTTTTAATCCTTTAAAGTTGATTTTTATAAAAGTTTATAATAAAAAAAAATTAATTTATTACCATAACTTTTAGCTCAATTCGCAAGTTTGAAATTGACATCATTAAATAGGAAATTTTATGAGAATTAAAAAAATTATATCATTAAGATTAATATGCAGTCAAGAAATTTTATAATTACTATTTATAGTAAATTTATCAGAAAAGCTCAATATTTTTTTTGCATTTTTATCGTAATAAATAACTTAAATAGAAATAATAGTAATAATTTCCTAGTAACTTTTGGTGTTTAAAAAAGATTTTACAATTGAATTATGAACTGAAATAATTTTAATGATTTACTTTAACTAAAATAACTAATCAAAAAAAAGTTGTTAAAAAGATCTAAAAATCCATTGTTAATTCAGGAGAAACTAACAATCATTTTTTTTAGAAATGATTTATATAGCAACATGTACCAAAATATTTTGAATATTATAGTCTAGTAGTAGCACACACAAATAGAGTTAAAAAAATTATTAAATTACAAAGTAAAATGATTAAATTTTGTAGTTGAAAGCTATCATATTAAATTATCATATCAAACTTGATTCGTCAATAAATACTTAATTGTCTTTATGGAGAACATGGAATTACTAACTGTTTAATTGATAAATTACAATTTTTTTTTCAATTTTTGAGGGTAATATCTTCAACTAGATATGAATTGTAGTAATTTGACGTATCGTTGAAAAAAGTAGGTCAAGTTAGAGCAGAGAAAATAAATGATAGTCACAAAAAAATATCTTCTCAGCTTTGCATCGAAGCTAAAATCTAAAATATAGTAAAATAATTTTAATGTGAATAAGAAATTTCTTCTCGCGAGTGGCGGCGACAACAGCCATGGGATACTTGATCTTTATTGAACTTATTGAATCTAAATGAGATAAAAATCAAATGAGTTGAAAATTTATTAAAAAAATTGCAGAAAATTCATTGCCATACGCGGGTCAGAACCTTATACCCCAAGCGCGTAAGACACAAATGTAACCGACTTGGTAACCGTACGTCGCTCTCATCGCTTGAAAAAAACGGCAATTTAAGCTAGTTCAAATTTCAAAGTTATTTTTCTCTACTTAAAAAAAAGGAAAAAAATTTAAATAAGTTTAACTTTCTATGCTACATCAATTTGATTTATATAATATTTATGAAAATCAGTGTACACCCCCGTCAGGTATTTTACACATTAAAATAAAATACAAAACCCAGAATTTTAACACAAAAATAGCATATTTTTGAATACGGTAGTGATTTTCACCATGAAGACTAATCCAAAAGTCAAATATTTTTTTCAAATTAAAATATATTACATAAGCTTTAATTTAATATATATATATATATTAGTATGAGTATTTCTGGAACACTTTCAAAAATTCAATTGAAAATTTCCTAGTTTCAATACGCATGTTTANTCTGGAACACTTTCAAAAATTCAATTGAAAATTTCCTAGTTTCAATACGCATGTTTAAAGTTTTGAACCCCTTTGTATAAAGGGGTATGATTAGATTTAAAAAAGTGTGTCAGATGAAAGAGGTATAAAAAAATTATTTATAAAAAAAATAATAATATTGATCCATACATTTTTCCAAAAGTAATAGCAATATAAATTAAAAAATATAAAATCGAGAATTCTTCACGGAAATCGTACGTTTTTCTTTAACTTTGATGTCTGTTTTCACCATTAAGACAAGTCTAGAGGTCAAATTTTTTTTTTCAAAATCAAGTATATTATATAAGCTTCAATTTAAGGTATATATAATAGTGTCAGTCTTTCCGGAATATTTTCAAAAGTTAAGTTGAAAAAGTTACCATTTTTAAACCCTTCCTGTGGGTTGGTAACTGGTAAATGTTCAAAAAGTATATAAAATGATTGGGAAATACCTCAGGTATCTATAAAAAAAAAAAATTATATTGATTCGGTCATTTTTAAAAAGTTATGGTAGTTTTAAGTAAAAAAATTGAAAAAATGTCGAAAATTAGTGAATTTTAAATTTGTAATTTTTTGACGGATTTCCCCCGTTTACGGGGAACGATGGAATTTTTTTCAATTTTTGAGGGTAATGTTTTCGACTAGATACGATTTGTGATCTTTTGACGTATTGTTCATCAAAATTGGACCAGCGAGAGCTGAGATTGAGCGTTCACAGACACAAAAAATAAAATAATACACATCATAGTAAAATTAATACCTTCTCAGCTTTGCATCGAAGCTAAAAATAAAATTAAAAAGAAATTGCTGACTTTGCCTTGCAATGCCTCAATATTTATAATATAAAATCACTACAATCGCTACAATTTCTCCTATAACGGCAAAAGAAAACATTTCCAGTTATCATTATCAGGGTATATGTATATAATAGAGAACTTGTTATTATAATATTTTGATAATTTCTTGACAGTGTAACAAATAGAAATGATAATCTTTATATTTACTGTCTCACAGTTTATTATTTTGTTACTACACAAATTTACTAAAAATGCTATCTTATCAACAATTTAGATACTAATAACGATAGATAATATGATGGCAATGTAATTGTAGCATGACGTGAAAATCTAAATTCTCCCTGTTCAACTACAGGTTGAAGCAACTTTAATATTTTTCATGTTATGAATGAATCAATAATTGAATTTTGTTATATTTTTATATTTGTTGAATAAAAATATTAATTTTTGTTTCATCCAACGCAGTCAGATAAACATCTAGATATTTGCACTTTCTAGATATTTGATGTCAATGTACATTTTCACCACACAGAGCGCTGTTTTCAACTACTTACTTATATTCTCTTGAGCTTATAAATTTACCCGGTAGATCGTAGTGTTGGGCACTTCTTTCTGCGTTTTTACAAATTATTTGGAATATTCTAAATATAATGTTGGTTAATTTATGGAATTTTTAACTTGAATTAACTCTTATCAAAATATTTGTTAATAAAATAATCTTAAATAAATGAACAATGCTGGATAACATATTGGTTTAGGTTGTATTGTGAACTGATATAGTCTTCCCACTCATTTAGTTGTCCAACCGGATCATCATATATAATGTACGATGAACCCGTTTCACAGACAACTCCGGCTCCCTCTCAATACGAATAAATCTTTCGCCTTTTACTAAAGATTTCCGTGGTGGGGAGCATTCAAAGGAGTCTAGAAATTTAATTTTTCAATTTGCCCGACTCTCGAGTTGGGCTTCTATCTAAACTAACAATATTGTGCATACCAAAACGTAAAGTGTAATACTACTTGTAATGTACAAAATAGTATTCACTGCAGCGTTTGAAAAGTGTGGGTAGAAATTTTAACAACTGTTTGTATACGTTGACTAATATTGTATACATACTTCTGAATGATATACTCAAAAGCCAGCAACTTCTAATTTCTCTTGAAATAATTGTTTAGATTTATAATAAAAATAATTTTTAATGTTCAAGAATTTCATATATTTCTTGATTTTCTAATAGCTTTTTAATTTATCCCTGAAAAGGATATTAGCTTTATTTTTTTAAATGGCAATATGTATATTAAATAGTTTCATAAAATTATAAATGACCTAATTATGAAAATGATAAATTTTAAGTATTTCGCATGACATTTTAAAATATAGATTGTAAGTAATGGATAGTACTCGATCGCATCTTTCCTCCGACCCAGACAATAAAAATGTTTAAAAATTTTTTCTTAATTAGATAACAATTTTTTTTATAAGTATGTTGTAACAAAAAAAAAAGTTTACACCCTTATGATGTACAATAAATGAATTAGAAACTGAAATATCGATGAATACATGAAATTAAAATATACCAAAAGTAATAATTATTATTATAATAATGAACTAAACAACTCTATTGCATACTTTTTTTAGGACAAACACATACTCAGTTTTATTGGAATTGATTTATCTGAGAAATAATCATAGTTTGAACTGCATTACAAACTATTATTATTGGTAAATAAAATAAGAAAGGGTATATAAGAGATGAATAAGGTAAAAATAAATTGAACAACATAATGTTTGAATAATAAAAGAAATGCACTTTAATGTAGAAACTTTCAGAAGATCCTTCAATATAATAATGCGCTTAGTTGTAAGCAAACGCTAACTCTTATGTATCGACAAATAGGGTCACATAATAGCATATACAAAAAAAAAAAAAAAAAAAAAAAAAAATATTTTAACTTACACATTAATACTATATAAACCTTAAAACTTTTTTTGATCACTATTATAAAAAAGGAAAAATAATAATAATAATAAAAAGAAAACATCTCAATAAAATAACAATATGATTCAGTTGGAGAAAAAAAATCTGAGACATTTATTGGTCGACATTATATTGCACCACTACACATAACTAGTAGCTTATCGCATTAATAAATAGAAATACGAGTTTTCATATCAGTCTTTCCATTTCCCCCAGATTTGTTAAAGATGCCACAGAAAAATATATCTAAAACATTTTTCTTATAAATTATTTTTTTTTTTAAATTTTCATTTTAAATAAATCCCTTAAACTCTAAATTAGGGAACATCGCGCTATACATCGTTTAACAAATATCACAGATCGAGTATTATTATTTTTTACAATATAAATTAATAGACAAATAAAAATTAATATCATAATGTTAATTTTATCGAGTTTTATACAATTTACATGGACTTGTTATAAAAAATTGACCCTTGGCAAAAAAAGAAAAAAAAGGAACTCATTCAAGTTGTCTAAATAATTTGTATAAAACACATTTTTATACTTTTTAAAGACTAGTTTAAATATTATATTTAAGGTTAGATAGTAACCATGTTTTGTCAATATATTATGCATTTCTTCTGGATGTTTCAAGTTTTATGTGCATTTCAAAAAGAAAAGTATTAGATTATTATATTATATAGATAATTAGTAATAAAGTTAACTTTATTAATTAAATTTGGAATGTGACTTCAATTTGTAATTAAACAGTGGAAGAAAAAAAAATTAGCCCCTAAATCCAAAAAATTGATAAGAAGTCACAATCGTTAAACATTGATTTTTAAATTTAAATTAATTATATCAGTTTTGTTTATTGTTGAACTGTTTGAGGTTGTCCATAATACTGGTAACCACCTGCTTGAGGTACAGCAGCATAACCACTCTGAAACGCATCTTGAGTGACAGTAGGAGGGCGGTTTTGCTGGAAGAATTTATGTGTAAGTAAAGGTTGTATTGATGCATCAGCAGCACCATTCATCATGTATTGAGGGGGTATAGCAGCAGCATACATGTCTGCCATGTTGGAAAATTGACGCTGCTGATTATAATTTCTGGGTTGATAATTGGTACGTTGATTGTTAGGATAGTTGTTTTGACTACGATTGTTATAACCAACAGAATTTGCCTAAAAATAAATTCAGTTAATATTTTAAATTTTCACATACTAATTCTAGACTGCAGAATTAAAAAAAAAGTAATGTCTCGTATATTAATTTAATACCGTCTTAAATGGCCAAACTTGGGACAGATAAACATCCATTAAAATTGTATCAATCAACAGCACTTATATAACATTTAAAAGTATTGTCAAGAAACACAAAATATTTTATCACAAAAATTAAATGATAAATTTTTAAATAATTAACATCTCCAAGTGTGCTCATTTGACAATATTCAGAATAGTAGTTAAGAATAATTTTGTATATTATACTATAAAAAAATGAAACTAGTTTCATATGTTTGATATGATCAAAAATAACTACTTTAGCCTAAACGAGCACTATTCGAAAATAAATATATAAGTTTAACCAAGTTAATATATATATGTAAATTCTTTAATAATAATTTTACTAGGGGAAAGTCAAAAATTAAGAATATTTAATTACTTGATTTTGACCATATTTTGGAACACTATTGCCATTAAATTGTGGTTGATATTGTGGATTTTGGAACTTTGGTACATTGCGTGGAATATTATTTGTTCCCGATTGATATCCTCCATTTTTGAGTTCATTATTATAAGGCTTACTCTGATAGTTTTGACCACCAGTATAGTTACTACCATTATTATAGTTGGGTCCTCCATTATTATAGCTATTATATCCATTAACATAGCCATTACCATTTGAAAAGTTATGATTAGAAATTCTTGCCATGTTGGTTTGACCATATGGAGCTTGAGGTACCAAAGGTGTATTGACATCTCGATATCGACTGGTCCATTTAGCACGACCTGTGAGAAAATAAACATAATATAATTAAATGTATTTATTATTTTGATCTAATTAAAATCTGATACATTATATATAGTTAATAATACAGTCAATTAAATTGTTTTCAAAGAATGTCTTCTAAGTTATGTAAATTACATAATGTAGTTGATGGCAACAATTTTATATTTAACAATTGTGTCAGCATAATTATTTAAATATATTTTTATTACANTAACAATTGTGTCAGCATAATTATTTAAATATATTTTTATTACAAGTATTCATCTCTATTCAACAATCATTTCAGTTAACTAAATTTTATGTTTAAATAACCAATAATAGAAGGATTCCTTAATATTAATATTAATACAATGATAGAATATAAATAATATAAAATAATTATCAATACTATACTGTCATACTGAATTTTAACTTTGTATGAAGGTGACTGACCTTAATTATTATAAAATATACTTAAGGCTAATTAAACCCACAATTAATATATAGCGACATTAGAAGAATTCATGAATTACAAAATTTATGAATATGAAATTAAATGTCGCCTAAATGATTACTCAGTATTTATCAACAAAACTAAGCTGTAAATTATAAAATTAATCTTTTGGGGATTTATTAGTTTTTCGTATAATTACTGAAACTTGCAGTAATGTATTGATTATAATAAAATAGTCATGTATATTTTATTATGTGTTTCACTTCATTTATAATTATGCGCACTAGAAGAAGAAACTTAACAGTGAGTCCAAAGTATTTATTTTAACTGTCCATTTAACGATTATAAATATATATTTCCAAAGATACTGAAAAAACCTGAATATTTTTCAATATAACATGAGTGAATAATTAAAATAATTAATTATTTTTTTAAATTTAAATAGTGATACAACAATTCATAAGGCATTAAAAATTTGCATCAGACAAATTAAAAATTGATTTGAGTGAATTATTTTGCTTATAGTTAATACTAATTTTGATTTTAATTTAGTTTTATATAAAAGTGAATGGTCTCAAATGATACATACAATTAAGGTTAATTAAATTAAAAATAGCAATAGTTAGTATGTTAACATTAAATTTTTTTTAAAAAATATGAAGTCATTGCACATGAATAGAAATATCACATTAATTCTTCTTCTTTTTCCTCGCCTTAATTCCAACTACTTGGGATCAGCTAACCTTATCCTACACTTCCACATTATTAAATTATTAAAACATTCTGTACTTTAGAGCTTTTATAAATAAATAAATAAATGTCAAAATTAATTTTTCTCAGAAGCAACATTTGGCTTTTGTATGTTGAAACATTAAGTCAATAAAAACAATATTGAAACTAAACTATTACTACTAATAGAGGCAATTGTTTTTTTTATGCAATCTAAAAATATGGCCTCTAAAAATATATTCGATATAACACAATTTGAAATTACTACAATATAATTGTTATGCACTGAAAAATTTTCCAGTAAAAGATTAATTAAAAAAAATTATTCGATAGTATATAAGATATAGAAATACATAATAATCAAAATTACCCTAATCTTACATGCAACTATTATAATTTGTCAGGCTGATACAAACTATACACTTTATGATTTTTAGATTTTGTATGAAAGTGACTGGCCTTTATTGATATATACAAATAAGGCTAATTAAACCAACAAAAGTTAATATGACGACATTTTAAAAATTCAAGAACTATGCAAGTATTGAATACGAAATCATTAATTGTCGCCTAATTAGATACATATAAAATAAAATTCCTTATTATAAATAGACATACTTGACATATGACTTTTTGCCATATTGGCCATTTCCAAAAGTTCTTCAGGAACTACTTGATGTGCTTCTTCCAGAATAGCTATTAGATCTTTAGCCTGACGCATATTATTCGAAGAAAAGAAAGTATAGGCAATCCCCATTTGTTTAGAACGACCAGTTCTACCAATTCTATGTACATAATCTTCTGAAGAATTTGGATAGTCATAATTGATCACATATTTAACATCATCAACATCTAAAATAATTAATAATTAAAATTTTATGAGCAAAAATGAATTGTTTTGATTTAATTAAAAAACAATAATTATTTACCTAATCCTCTGGCTGCAACATCAGTGGCAACTAATATTGGTGATTTTCCATTTCTAAACTCATTTAAAACATGATCTCGATCCTGTTGAGATTTATCTCCATGCATTGATGTGGCAGTGTAACTACAAAAGATTAAATAATTTAATTATTATTAATTCAACTTATATTTACACAAACTAATGTTATTAAAAAGAATTACCCTTCATTCCTAATTTGTTTAGTTAATTCATCAACTTTCTTTTTTTTTTCTACAAAGATTATAGCTTTAAACCCAGGTTCAATCGATATTTTCATAAGCAATTCAAATAATTTATAATCTTTTTCATGATCTTCACATACTTCAATAAATTGTTGAATGTTGTGATTGGCAGCAAGTTCTAAAGAACCTACATTAATTTGTATGTAATCAACTAAGAAATCAGCAGCTAATGCCTGGACTTCTTTTGGCCATGTTGCAGACCACATTAATACTTGTCGGTCAGGCTAAATTAATAATATATTAATTAATAAATCATAAATTTCAATTCAAGTTAAATAGTTATTACTCTTATCTGTTCAATAATTTTTCTAATTTGTGGTTCAAAACCCATATCTAACATTCGATCAGCTTCATCAAGAACTAAATATGTTACACGTTTCAAGTTAGTCGATCCACGTTCTAAGAAATCAATTAATCGTCCAGGAGTTGCAATTACAATTTCAACACCATTTTGTAAATCATGAGCTTGTGGGCCTTTGGGGGTACCTCCAAAAATGCAAGTATTTCTAATACTTGAACTAAACATTTTTGCTACACTTTGAATTTGTTGTGCTAATTCCCTAGTTGGAGCTAATACCAACGCAATTGGACCATCACCACGCTGTAATGGTTCCTGATTACTGATGTGTACTGCTGCTGGCAGCATATACTAAAATTAAAAACATTATTTATTCTGAGAGTTTAACTGGTTTTAAAACATATTTATGATTTATACATACTGCTAAAGTTTTTCCAGAACCAGTCTGAGCAATACCCACAAGATCACGACCACTTAAAGCGATAGGCCATCCTTGAGCTTGAATTGCAGTTGGTTCTAAGAATCCTTGTTTTTTTAATTCTTGAACAACACTTTCTGGAAAATTTCCTTCAATAAAGAACTGACTTGGGTCTGGAACATTTGTGCCACGAATTGTTATCGCTTTGTCAACACGGTAGGAATTCACTTCATCTTGACTCCTATAATTAATTTTATTATTAACCTAATGATAAAAGAAGATATCAATTGACATCTCAATTCATAGATCAATATCATTTGTTTCAATTTTAAGTAAATTTTCATAATTTCTAGACTCATATTACTTTGACTACACACTTAAAGCATATTTTATACAATATATTAACGCCAGTTGAAGAGTTAATTGTTTTAATATATAAAAATAGTAAAAATAATGAAGAAATCTGTATACAGGGTGACCCACCACTCACTGACAACTTAAATAACTTTTGATCCAGTTAATATTTTTAGCTGATTTTTTTTTAAATATTAGTTAGATGTTAGGTCTATAGCTATATCTCAATAATTAATTTTTTTACATTTTATTAAAAATATTTATTATTTTTAAATTTTAAATAAATTGTAAAAAAAAAAAAATCTAAGATAGCTATTTTGTAGAGTAGAATTTAAGAAAAATTTTAGTAAAAAAATATCTTATTAATATTCAGTAGTAAATATTCTGTAGCGTTTTGAAGTTTGTGAAAATTTGAATTTTCATGTATTATTTTACGGTATTAAACATTGAAATACGTATTGAGAAAAGGACAGAAGAAAACGCTATCTTTTCAATATACTTTTGAATGAGAGTGATAAGTAATAATTGCCTTATCTAATTTCTTATCATGGTATTAATGCCAAGTTTGTAATGTATATACATTATCATCATATGTATACACAATAATCATGAAAAGATAGCATTTTCTTCTGTCCTTTTCTCAATACGTATTTCAATGTCTAATACCATAAAATAATACATGAAAATTCAAAATTTCACAAACTTCAAAACGCTACAGAATATTTACTACTAAATATTAATAAGATATTTTTTTACTAAAATTTTTCTTAAATTCTACTCTACAAAATAGCTATCTTAGATTTTTTTTTTTTTACAATTTATTTAAAATTTAAAAATAATTAATATTTTTAATAAAATGTAAAAAAATTAATTATTGAGATATAGCTATAGACCTAACATCTAACTAATATTTAAAAAAAAAAATCAGCTAAAAATATTAACTGGATCAAAAGTTATTTAAGTTGTCAGTGAGTGGTGGGCCACCCTGTATGTTAGAAGAAACTTTAAAATCTAATATTAAAAGTGAAATATATAATATTACAGGCAATATATGATTTATTAAAATATTACAAGAAATTTTTAATTAATTTAATGTTTAATAGTATTGATTGAATATTTAGAAGTTTTAATAGTAAAAATTTTGTTTATTATTTTACTAAGAATATTTTCAAAATCTAAAATGCAAACAAATATTCCTTATCATTATTATTAAAATAGTGGAATGAATAATTACTGACCTATTAATAGTATCTATATGTGGAGAATAAAAGTCTTTTTTAAACGGTTGAAGAGATTCACGAGTCCAGTTTGGTTTTCTCAATAAATCACCAGGTGTCTTATTCATTGGTTTAAACATGGCTCCTCCAAAATCTGTATTGTCAGCATTTCCATTTTGGGATTTCCAAAAATGATTACCACCATAACCTTGATTTTGGGGTGTACGTTGTTGATACCTTAATAAAAAAAAAATCAACTTAATACAATAAATTTAAAATGTATCAATGTATTTAAAACTAATAATTAACTCGGTCAAAAAAAAAAACCAAAATGGTTTTTTAATATTTTTAAGTTAAAATTACTATTTTTAATATTATATACTATTAAGCACAAGTGATCAGTTTTAATTATATCTCAATATACTTGTGCTGAACTAAAAGGTTAATTTAAAAATTAACTTGTCTTTATAATTAAAAAGAATATATACAAAATAAAATATATACATATACACCCTAAATTAATAAAAATTTCAACATATAATAAAACTATAAAACTAGATACCAGTGAAATGTAAAAACAGTTACTTTTAATTGTTAAAAAACAATATATTTAGTAGAAAACATTGAATTTAAAGTAAAAATAGATCCTAGAATTGTAGGATTTTCATTTCTAAATAATAAAATTACTTTTTAAAAAATAGTTTTGTTTGAAATTAATATATTATTTATAATATAGCATACAATTAATCTAAATTCTCTATAATATATTTTTTTTTTTATAAATTAACAATATTATGATAAAATTTGATTTTCAAATATTATCTCTCTGATGAGACAAGTTAGTCTACTGTGGATACAATTAAGATTTATTAACCAATTAAGGGTTAAATTTTTTTAATTCTCAAATATTGCATAAAATTGTTCAACATATTTAACAGCCGTATATACTTTAGTATATATATTCATATATACTCACATTGGATAACCAGGATTGTTGTACATATTATTTTCAAAAAATTTTTTGATGAATTTCAAGATCTGCAAAATGAAAATGAGGGTCACACTATCATACTTTAACATTACGGCTGCATCAATATATTTAATCTTTGATAGAGTACTTACCAAAATTAATGAACTTTATTATAGAGTTCTTTTGTTAATATAAGTGGTATAATGTGAAATTAAATTTATTGGTTTAAGTGTGTTAATTGTTTAATATTGATCGGAAAAACAGAGAATGGTCGTTTCAAGACGGAGAAGCGGCCATGTTTGAAAGTGTGAGTGTCGTTCGTTGTTCGCCCCAAAGATCGCCCCCGATGACGTATAATAAAAATGGACGAAAAAATTTCATACGTATTCTTCCATGATAATATAAAATGAGAAAGTCATTAAAAAAATATTTTAGTCTCCAATTTAGGAGATCATAAAAACAGATTCATAAAGTAGTCTCCAAATAAATATTTATTTTGTTTGACACAACTCAAAAGTTTTTTAACCAAATAACTACATTATGATTTTTTATAAAGATTAATTAAACACCTGTTTTTAGTGATATCACAATCATTATCAAAATATTTTGTGGTACACTTATTATAATTCTGGTTATATATAGATCATTAATATGTGTAGTACTTAATAATTGAAAGTAACATGTATTATAAACAAAATAATACTCAGTAGGGCGTACTTTTCAATTATTACTATTGTTATAAACATTGTACTGTAATTTAATTTCAGTTGTATAGTTGAAAAAATATACTAAAAAATGTAAAATTATGCTACAAAGATAATTATGCATATTCAACTGAGAATTTAGCTAATTGAAAATGGTATGTATTTAAGAAAAATTTACAATCTGAAAGAAAAAAACAATTTTATTTTTATTGAATTGAACTATTGTCTGTGCGCTATCAAATGATAAACTTGATTTTTGTACAAAAGTTTTGATTTACATGACTTTACCCTATTTACTTTAATGCTATTTATATTAGGTGTTATATTATATTGAATAATGTTTTAAAACTTGGTAAACTGTCATTTATAGGATTTATTCAAAAGTCTACATTTGAATTTTATAATGATGGTAAAAGAAATTTTGTTTTTAATATAAAATAATAGTGGATATACAATCTATTTTATTGGATACCTGAATTTTCAATATTTATATAATTAAATGTCTTACAAAAGTTAATTTTTAAAAGCTATTGTTTTATAAACTTATCTAGTATTATATGTCTGAATATATAAGTCAATTTTATTTAGAAAGGTTTGTTTTTTACCTTTTAACTTGTATATATTTGTCTGAATTATTTTTTAACTGGTAAAATTTGTTTTTAATGAATTAATGTTTATACTGCATTATACATTACATAAAATTATATCATCTCTTTTAGATAATTTATTTTATAAACTACAAATAATGGCACCATCTAGAGAAGACAAAGAAGTGTTAAGTTGTACATGCAACCTAACTCCTTTTGATATTCCTAATAAATATTTATCTAAACCATATGTTGAATCATTTCTCAGAGACCTAAATAATTTACGAAAAAATCATGTATTCTGTGATGTGCAACTTATGTCTGAAGGATATTATATTGATGTAAGAAAATATAATTTGTCTTTCGCTATTAAATTTAATTTGAATTACTAACTTTAATATTTATTATTTCAGGCACATAGAGCTGTTTTAGCAGCAAGTAGTCCATATTTCTATGCAATGTTTACCAATGGATTATTAGAAGCTGGTAAAAAGACCATTGAACTCCCATCTGTTTCTCCTAATATTCTTGAAACATTAATTAATTTTATTTATTCAGGTAGAGTTAAACATGTATCTTAATTTTAATTATCTTTAAGGTTGTTTTATTTTTTCAAACACTATTAAATATAATTATATGTATTTAAATTATAGGTAAAATAAATATTTACCAAAATAATGTTGAAGAAATAATGATTGCAGCAGATATGTTAGAATTAAATGATGCTGTTAGTTGTTGTACTGAATTTTTAAAGAGTGAAATAGATTCTTCCAATGCTGTAGGGCTTTTGAGGTAATTATTTAATTGAAATTAATCTTTATTTTCATTACAATAATAATAACAATAATTTATTTAAACTGTATGATTAATGTTTAACTACATATATACTCAGATTTGCAGATATGCACAATTTCTCTGTTTTACATAAGCTATCTGAAGATTTTATATTTGGAAATTTTGTTCAAATTTGTGATGAAGAAGAGTTAGGTGATTTAACTAAAGATCAATTTATAAAGTTTTTAAATAGTGAATATTTATGTGTTGATTCAGAGCAACAGGTAATTAAAATTGTCAGCTTAAATAAAAATTAAAAATGTTGTTTAAGTTCTCTGAATTAAATTTTTGTCATATATATACTGTATAACTATTTTAGGAGGCACATTTAAGATTATTCAATGAGAAACTAATATAAAAATAATTTGTTGGTGATTCTTTACCTATAATGTTGGCTTTTCACATCCTTGAATGTGTTAACTCTTAATTTATACAATAAAACTTGTATTTAACATTAATGAAAGACTTTAGATTAACGTGCTATTAATTTCTTTTAATATTAAATATAGGTGTTTCATGCAGCTATGAAGTGGATTAAACATGATCTGTCTGATCGCCGTAGATATATTTTTGAAATTTTATCTTGTATACGTTTACCTCTTATTAATACACAATTATTAGAACGTGAAATTAATGAAAATACTGATGCCAGTTTAAGAGTTGCTTTACGTTCGATTTATACTGATATTGCTGAACGTATTGGTAATCTAGTGTCTTTGCAAGTTGAACCACGTTTAGGAGCAAAAAAAGATATATACATCATAGGCGGTTCAAAAAGAGAAATATGTAGTGCTTGGTCTCGCTATTCAGAATCTACATTTGAATCTGTAGTCAAATTCAACACATTTAGAAAGTATGATTTTATTTACTAATATTTTTAATTTACTATCTAATTCTTTACCATGTGAAAATTAAATTTTTTCAGAGAATGGTGTGATATAAAACCCATGAATATAGGTAGAATTATGCCTGGCGTTGCTATATTAAATGGTTGTATTTACGTTGTGGGTGGTGAAAATGAATCGCTTATTTTATCAAATGGTGAATGCTATAACCCTACTGAAGATAAATGGAGTCCTGTTGCTGGAATGACAGTTCCTCGATGTGAATTTGGAATGGCTGCTTTAAATGGATATTTATATGCAATCGGTGGATGGGTTGGTGATGATATTGGAGGATCTATAGAAATGTGAGATTTTTACTTTTTTGATGCTTTGTTCTATCATTATATATCTTATGTCTTTAGTTATTCTCCATCATTAAACCATTGGACAATGTGCAGTAGTGTATTACCAGAACCACGTTTTAGTATGGGAGTTGTTTCATTTGAAGGTATTTAATAAATATTTTCAAAGACATAAAAGCTGATTCTTTTAATGCTAGACACTGGACTTCTTTTAGAATAATGATTATGTTAAGAAATCTATTTTTAGTAATTTTTAGTTACATATATTTCTTGTATCAGCTAATAATTACTTATTTATTATCTTATTCATATTATCAATTATTTATTCATCTCTTATACCTTATGATGATGCCAACTTTATTTTTTTTAATGACAACATATACAATGTGTTTTTTTATCATAACCCACTTGATTGCAAAATGAAAACAATTTAAAAAAATTTTTAGATGCTTTTAGTTGCATATTATTTTTGAATTATTAGTTGTATAATACTTTTTAAACTCATCTCTTATGCCTTATAAGGGTGTAAATATTGTTTTTTTCAAATGGAAACTCATTTTTTAAATTTAATAAAATATTTGAGGTTTATTTTAACAGTAAATGGCATTTGAATTTTTGAAATACCTTTATTTGTTTATTAGATATAAAACTTTAAATTTATTAGATAGTATATGAGGTGTTTTCAGAAAACAACGGAAATTTTTTAAATTTGCGGGTTTGAAGAATCTGATTATCAAAAAAAAATTTTTTTAATCTTGGTACACATGTCCCTGAAGTATGATAAAATTTTTCATGTGGATTCATTTTTTACTTTGTCAGTGGCAACCGCTAAGGTTAGACGTTTTTTTTGTCAGCGATTTTCATTTGTTTAAAAAAATGGATCAAAGGATTTGTATCAAACTATGCATAAAAAAATAAAAAAAGTGTGAAGACATTGAAAATGACGAACGCCCCAGCACATCAACAACCGATGATAACGTAGAAAATGTCAAAGAAATGGTTATGAAGTTGATGATGGCGGAATGTTGATTGGTTTATGTTATGAAATTTTTTGTAAATGTTTTGGGTATGAAACACGTAGCAGGAAAATTTGTTCCAAAATTGTTGAATTTTGAACAAAAACAGCGGCGAATGGAAGTTGCTCAGGACTCATTTAATGAAGTCAACGATGATGCAGAATTACTGAAAACAATCCAAAATGTATGGCTTTTGTTTTACAATAATGCACCTACTCACTCTTTATTGCTTGTTCATCAATTTTTGGCCAGAAACAATACTGTAACAAATCCCCCACCTCCATATTTACCAGACATTGCTCCATGTGACTTTCTATCTCCAAAAATAAAGAGAACCTTACAGGGCCATCGTTTTACAAGCATAGATGACATTAAAAGGGCATTGCTTAATGAGCTGGAGGCTATCCCAAAGATCGAGTTTGAGGATTGGAAGAAGCGTTGGCACAAGTGCATAATATCTAATGGAGACTTTTGAAAGCAACAACATTAATGTAGACAAATAAATAAATATTTTTTCAAATAACAAAAATTCCTGTTATTTTTTGATCATATTTCGTTCATGTATAATGTTTATTGTCAATTATGACTATCGACAGATATATTCTCAATTTTGCCAGTTGGTGTATTTATAATCGTTAACTCACAACATGTGCCTTATAACCACACTAAGTATTTCTGTTAATAAAGTCATCATAAGTTGACAATAAATGCTGTGTATAATAATAATTATAATAGAATTATAATTGTATCAATAATAATAAATATTAATACACAAAAGACCCATTTTTTGCGCCATAAAAATTCTTGTAATAGATCAATATTGGCTCAACAAATTATTCGGAAAAAAGATTAAAAATCACTATTTTTAAATGTTGAAAAAATTAAAAAAATAATTTAAACTTTTTCTTCTTAAGACAAATAATAAAAAATATATTTTTAACATAGTCTAAAAATGCAAAAACTGTTTCAAAAAAAATTACAGTGAAATAATTACTAAATCAAAAGTTATTAGATTTATCATATTTTCATAATTTAATATGTATTAAAATTATTTATAAATCTTTTTTTTAGGGTTAATTTACATAGTTGGTGGATGTACTCGAACTAAGCGTCATCTTCAAGACTTATTAAGCTATAACCCTGTGACTGGGGAATGGTCTATATTAGCTCCTATGTTGGTACCTAGAAGTCAAATGGGTGTTGCTGTCCTAGACAAACATTTATATGTTGTTGGTGGCATAACTAGTAATAATGAAGTGTTAAACTTAGTAGAACGATATGATTTTGAAGAAGTAAAGCTATATATTATTATTTATTTAGTATGTAAAATTAATTTTTATTTAAAATTTAGAATTCTTGGGACTTTGTAAGTCCAATGAAAGGTAAGCGTGCAAGCCCAGCTGTAGCTGCTGCAGATGGTATGCTATATGTAATAGGTGGAGATATTACTCACACTATTAATTCATACAGGTCACAAATAACAATTTCTACTGTAGAAAGGTACAATAGTTCAACATCCCAATGGGAAGAATTACCTCCTCTACCAGAATCTAGAAGTGAAGCTGGAGTTGCTGTATTATAAAATAATACAAAAACAATTATTTAAAATGAATATTTTAAATTTTGGTGGGGCACAAAAATGCACAAAAATGTTAATTGTTAAAACAATCATTCTAAATTTTATTTTTACCAATTACATAGTGAGGCGTTAAAATGACTAATTTTAAAAATTCAATTATAAAATGAAAAATGAATAAAAATTAACCATTAAAAAAAAAAATGTTATATTTTATATATTTTTTTTCTACTATAATCTCTTAAAAATTCCTCAAATTTTCCATATAATCTTTAAGTTATATTGTTTTCAAAAATAGTTATATTTATTTACCACTACAATAACTAACGCATTATTTTATTATGATGGTTTCTATGTAATTCTACATACAAAAACTTTATTATGTTGGTGTTTTTAAAATATGAGAAAAATTTTCAATATATCAAGTACAAACTGAAATAATAACAAAATAAAAAATTGTATATTATAGATGCCTTGAAATAAGAATAACCGCTCAACTATTTTATATTAGCTATCTTATTTTTGTAACAGTTCAAAATTTCTTCTTTTGAGTTGTTCTGGAAGTAATTAGCCCTTTGTCATAGTAGCCTATTCAATATTGAGCACAATAGAAATAGATAATACACGTTGGTTATCTTAATTAAAGATTGTGTTATCTTTAAAAAATGATTATAAAATAATAAATGGCGTGTTATTAACTTAATTTTAATATATATATATATTAAAATTAATACACATATATATATATGTGTAATTAATTTTTTCNATAATAATAATACATAATTTTTATCAAACACAAATTTTTTCGTATTCTAATAGAAAATTAAAAATTAGATTTTGAATTACAAAATTTGATGATAAAAAAAATATTATTGAAATAAGAAAAGACAATATATTACACATTTCATAGCTTCAAAATTAATAATTTAAGTACATACATGATGATAATTGTAATATTAAATGATTAGTTAAATTTTCTCATTGTATTAATAAATAGAAAAAATTATTAACATGAATTTGTTTACATAAAATTAATTAATACACATACATTTAATTATTAAAGTTCATTTGTATAATACAATTTTTATCAATAAATTTAAGTACTCGCATATACTATAATTTGTAAAAATATAATAGTTTTTTTTTACAAGAAAGGATAGTAAAAATTATATGAATCGATATTTAAACGAATACAGTCTTCTGTATAATGATCAAACATTAAACAATAATAACACCTGTAAAAACAAAAAAAAAGTTAATTAAATTTTTTACTGTTATATCATTTAATAATTACCGTTGGCCATATATTCGTCCAATTATCACTATGTCCTTTGCCCAATTTGGTCGCGTAGAATCAATGACGAACTCCGCTTTTTGCGGAGCTTTATAGTATCGATAACGACCAACTATATCTTCCTAGAAAAAAAAAATTTTAACTTCAAAATTGTTTTCTTTTTATTTGAATTCATCAATATATCGTCTATGTGACTGAATCGTGTATCACGATTTTAAAGATTATTTTGAAAGAAACAAAAAATAAATTATTTTTGTATAGTATATAATGAATAATTTTTTGAAATTCTTTATTACTGCAATATTTTAACATGCTTACCCTCTTGAAATAATAGCATTTCCCATTATTGGAAATAATCCTTCCAACTTCATTCTTATTTCCAAAATAACGTATAATTCCTTCTCCATTTCTATTGGTTTCCAAACTATCTCCTTCATCAACAATTTCTTCGTTCTCTGTCATACAATTTAAGCAATCAACCTCAGTATCTATGTTTTGAATGTTTAATAAGTGCGTGTCTTCTTGCGACTCCGCAGAAACCATAACATGTTTAAAGCCTTCTTCTTCACTCTGTTTTTCATTTACTATTACACCTACGTTTTGTATATCAATATCTTCATTTTGAATTGTGACCAATTCCGTCTGGTTATTACTATTTAGACATATGTCATGCGCAATAACTTCTAAATAATAACATATAAAATTCTATTATTATGATTGTTTAAACATTAATTAGTTAAAAATTAATTTTTTGTGTTGACAGATTTTATATAAAATTATATTAAATGATATCGATGCAATCACACATAGTATAACATCTTAGTAACAGTAAGCTAAACTAAGTAGGCTTATAACATTGACACACGGACACACGTATACTACAGAAGGGCAGACATAATACGAGTGTCTCAAACACCAATAATTATTGACTTTTTACTATCATCGCCACTATTACTTATTCAAATAAATAGAATTTTACAAAGAACATGAAGTTTATTAGTCTTTACAACAGATATTTTAGAACTTGCACCAGACAATGGTTATTACATCTTTGGGAAAAAAAACCGTTACTCCCTCTAAAGCTTTTGAAACGTGTAGGAATATTATATTTCCAATAGGAACAAATATTAATTTTTGAACACTCTTTTCGAAATGTATAAACGCAAAAGTACACGTCAGTTACTGCCTAAACAATTTCAACAAATTTCACTTAAAGAAAAAATTGAAATCTTACAAAAAAATAAAAAAAGGTTATTAATTTTATTATTGCAATAATACGTGTAATAAAATGAGGTTTTTTAACAGCCGCAGCAATGAACGTCTTCCAAGCATAGATAACTTAATGCAAATGGTAGCTGTCAAAAGCAGCCCTTATCAGCGGCTAGCTTCATTTGAATATTTTCGTCTGCTATTTTTCAACTTTTTTGCATTAAGTTATCATATTTACTAAGCTAGCTGTTGTCGTCAGCCTATCATACTCACGATTTATTTATCACTCTTATACACTACCAAAGTTTCAACAATTTGCATACCAGCCTAATGTTACAAAACAACTAAAAATACCATTAGCCGTGGCTTGAACACTATCCTGTCATGTTCTTGAACATTTCCAAGATCAAGATTTTGTATAAGGAATTCATAAAATTAATGAGACACCTAAAACGCATACTTTAATACGTTTCAGGCGTCTCGATATAGTGTTCAGCCTTCTGTCGGTTATTTTCAGGTGGCCATCAATATAATTCAATTATACTATTATAATATTAATAATTATTATTATTTTATAGACCATCTAAGTAATGATATTACTAAAACTATTACCCCTAACATAGTAACACTAAGTCTCATACATCTTAAATACTCTTAAATCTCAACTTGTTATCCAAAAAGCCATAAATCAAATCATTGTAAGAGTGACACAATTTATCTACAGTTCTTTATTTGAAAATAGATAAGCGCAATTTTCTATTTTAACCCAGGTAAAGAATTTGACGATGTTGATCACAGTATTATATTGCATAAATTAAAAAAATAAAATTAAGGAGAGCACTTTAACATATGTTTTGTCTTACTTAATAACAGAAAACAACATATTAAAATAAAAGAGTGTATTAATTCTTTGTACTTATTGAAATGCTGGATACTGAGAGAATTTTTGTTGACTATCTTTTTAGGCTAAATTTAATTAAAAAATTACCTGGATCAGATTGAGTTAAGAGACCACCTTCATTGGACTTCTTTTTCTTTGAAATACAGCACGCCAAATATCTTACCAATCGACCAAAAAAACTATTCTTCTTCATCCTTTTAATGTTGTAAACAACAAAATCAATGTAACAAAACAATTGTTTTCAAGTTAATAATAGTTAACAGAAATAAAATAATATTTTATATTATATTATAAGGACAAAAAATTAATCTTTATTCGCAAATTTAATAATAATCTAATATGTGTTTGATTGTAAACATCAATGTTTCAATACAGGTATCAATGGCAACTTATATTTTTATGATTATAAGATATTTAAATAATTGCATTAAATTAAGACATTTTCAAACATAAAACACTAAACAACTGTATTAATAATATACAATTTATTTATCATTACAAATTTACATAAAATATGATTTCTTTAATTTTGACAACTATTTAAATTATATAATAGCTAATTATTAGATACTAACATACAAAAAATACGTGTGAAGTTGTAAAATATTACTGGTTTTAAGTAATCATCAGTATACATAATTTTAATTATGATTCATATTATAAATTACATAAGTTAGATAATATTTAATGTTAAAATATAATCTCAATATGGCGAATATGATGAAAAAATAACATTTTTAACAAAAATTACTATTTTCGAATTTAATTTCCAAATAACATTAAATATGATATTATTTATTCAACACTGTTATGGTAGTTGCATTGACTTCAGTTATCTTTTAACTAATTTATTTTAATCGTTGATTTGTAAAAAAATTATATATGGAACCAGAGAAAAAATTATGTGCATTATCTTCAACTTTATGTAACATATGTTTATGTTTTTAAACAAAAAATTGTATAAATTTGAATTTAAGATGTATCGATTACACCATAATTTATGATACTAGAGATTTTAATATATTTCAATCTAGTTTATAATTCTCTATCTAAATATGCCAGTGATTTATAAAAAATTTGTCTTAGAACATCCATATCTAAATAATAGTAATAATAATAAGATTCAAAACAAAGTAGCACAAAATGTATCTCTCGTGGATGATTAAAAATTTAAAGCCTTTTTTGTGAAACGACTTTTTCGGATAGGCGCAAGTAAATTAAGATCTTTATTTTATGCTCACTAGTTTTATTGAAAATTTATTTTTTTATTTTATCTCTGACGTACTATTAATTGATCCTATGTTAACTTAAACAGATTAAAATATATCATATTGACTTAAATAACTAATTACAAGAGAGCCTTGTCATACTTTTCGAATTATTTACACAAATTATTTTGATTTTGTAATATATATTCTAATAAAATAATAAACTTGTAAGAAACCCATTATTTTTTATTATACTCTCTAGTAAAACATGTTACTTTTATGTCGCTCGTGATATCAGCATATAATTCTTAAAACATATGCTTTAAAAATTTCTGTTCTTTTTGATGAAAAGTATTTTTTTATTCGTAAGAAAAATATTGACCTTCTCTAAATATAATAATACATAATATATTTTATTTGAACTAAAATAAACATTTTATTTAAATATATTTAAATTTTTAAATTACATTTTTATAATTTGTCGACGTATTTGTAAAAAAAACACACATGTTGATTTTAAAGTGTTCACTGGACTTAATGTAACAATTGATGTCCCAGTATAATAATTAAAAGTAAATACTTCTATTCGACTAAACATTTTCTATAGAGGTAAGTGATACTTCTTAAAATCATATTGTAACCTGAAATTCAGTTTCACTATACAAGGTGTCTTTTAACATTAAGAGTTAATGAATTTAAATAATGTTGTATAAAGAAAATTAAAAATTAAATTAAAAAAAAAAAATTCAAACTTGATTAATTTATTTGCCGAAATTCTTTTATTAGTTCAAAAAATTAGTACACAGTCTAAAAAAAAATAAAATAAGATTATTTTTGATATTTGTTTTAATTTTAGTAGACATATTTTATTGCTAACATGTTTTAAATGTATTTTAAATAGAAATAAAAATACAACCAAAACTAGAGTATAACATAAATGCATTCTCATTTTTCAAAATTAAAATATGATTTCCTTAAGTAATTTTTAAACAACATTTTTAGCAATTAAATTTTGATACGCGTATTTCAATTTAGTAAACCTTTCAACAAAAATATAATCTAAAATTATTAAAAACATAAACATTAAATTGAAAAACATTTTTTGATATGGAAAAAAATTAATAAAATCTCACAATAAAATTTGCTAAAACTATGATTTGATATGATATATTATGAAACATGGAAAAAGTAATCTTACTGCGAAAAACATTTTTCTGTACTGAAATCATAAATGGCTTTATATTAATATAATATTTTTCAACATTTTTGGGGGTACTTAACACTGTAAAACACCCGCCTACTTAAATTGTGTCTAAGATGTCACGCTTTATTTTTGTCTTACAATAATTTTACAATTCAGAATTAGAACAAAGATTTTTGTTATACTGAAAATTAAACTCTCTATTTTTTATAAATAAGTTGTTAAATAAATAGTAATGATGTTATCTGCTTAAATATGTGTTTAATATTTAAATACAAGTTATGAATTTAAAAATGTTAATTATTTCAACTCATTTTATGGTATAAAATTTATTTATAAAATGGTATAATTTTTTGGTATCTCTTTCTAATTTATGAGATTATGGACGTTAATAGGGGTAGTGTTTTCAATAAATGCATATATCAGCGAATTCTTACACTAATTTACCTAATGCAAATGTTGATACACTCGTGTTTTCTAATAACATTAAAAAATATCTATTAATAAATATAGATGATAAAATTATATTAAAAAGTAAACCTCTTCATACTTATGTTGATATAACGTTTATAGTTGTATGTAAAATTGAGTTAAATAATTCATTTTTATTGAAAAAAATAATTATAAATTACGAACAATTACGAACTTCTAGTGTACATAATGTTGTCTATTCGTGCGCCTTAATTGATACATATTGAAACCCGCTTAAATTATAATAAAGTTTAACAAAGAGAGCACTCTAGCGGAGTATTTTTTGTGACAAGCACAAGATGCACCGGAGTAGGAGAAATATTAGGGTATGTTTACAGAGAGACGGTATCACGACTGTGGTGTGCGTTTTAGCCCGCCAGTTTTGACTCGTGTGTCGGATAGCGCGCCAAAAATACAAAATTAATTTATAGTGTTTTAATAATAAATCGCTTCACAGTTTCGGTTTGTATGGTGTTCGTAAGCGCATGTTTCTCTTAGACAAATTTAGTGATCGTAAATCTTGCCTATTTTTTTAATTTTAACTAATATTTCTTTTACTGTGAAATAATTAAGTGTACAGTGGGTTCCTAGCAACATTTAAGGCGCTTCTTTTTAATCACTGTGAGTAGATTCTTTAGTATACTATCAATGATATATTATCTATATTTTAATCTGCCAAAAAAGAAATGGATAGGTTTTTTATATTTTTTTGAAAATATTTTAATATTTATAACTCAAAGTAATATTGTAAAAATTTCACAATACATTTTCACCAAAGAATTAAAAGTTTGAAAATAATTCAATTTTTTTTTATCAAAATAATCATTAAGTCGATTAAAAATAATTCGTACAAATAAATTTAAACTTATAAAAACCCTTTAAATTATTTTAGCTTTAGTTGCGTCTATTGTACGCGGAGTACATTTGTAAAGTATTATAAACTTTGGTTTACAGGGCGCTAAAATTAAAATAATGATGCGTGGATGAGAAATTGTAATGGCTCACTTTAAAGTGGCAACTGTAGTGTAACGTCTTTGAAATTCTGAGAAAATATTTTGATTTTACTCGGTTTTATTACATGTTCAGTTCTAAGTTAATTATAGTTTATAGTAAATTCCACGAATATAAATTAATATGATTGTATTATAATACTTTTATACCTCTGTATGAATTAGCATCGCATTTATTTTCCATTTTAACTTATGGTAAATACTTTTCGTTATTATTAAATAATAATAATTGAAAATTTTTCAATATGGTTTAATTTAGGCCGATTAGTTTAGAATGATTTTTTTTGGAAATGTTAGTCTGATCCTAATTTCAAATCTTAAGTGAGATTAGGTCAGGTATTCAATTAATTTGTAAATAATTGAGAATAATGTTAGGTATATGTGCAGGTTTTGATTTGAAAAGATGCGGCACAGACAGTGGTGCCGATTTCTTTACAAATGTATTGTGGATGCAATATATTTTTGGGGTAGGTGACAATAATATTAAGAAATAATATTTATTTTACTTGTTTGTAATAAATTTTATAGTTAAAGCGTCAAATAACATCATTAGTCTCTAAAAGATTTCTTCATATTTTAAGTATTTTTTTAATAAAATGAAAAAAATAATAATTACTAAGGTTACATATTTAGAGGTGTTAATTTAATTTTCTTCTACAAAAAATTATTTTTATTAAACAATGCATATAATTTTTCTAAGTTTCTGGGGGTCTGATTTTTCTTAGTCCTTCCCATCATCTGATCATCACCCATTATTACTACCATTATTTATAAATAGATAACAACTTTAAAAACAAAAACCTATGTATACATAACTTAAAAAATTATCTCCCCCTTCCCCAAAAATAACACTTAAAAATAATTTAGTTATTTAATGGTATAGTGTTTGAACATCTCATACCTCTAAAAATTATTTCCAGTCATAAAAAAATTATTATTTGTGTAAATAATGGCACTCGGGGTATTAAGAAATGTAAAAATTTTTAAAACTCTGAAATCCGATTGGGTTTAATTGAATTAATAATCAACATTCCTACGAATCTGCTTTAAAAATAAACTTCTGTTTAGTTTTAATAACTAAGCTATAGTAAGTTACTATGATAGACCATTTATTTTTGGAATTATCAATCAGTTTACACAATTAATACGCTTTATTGAACTCATCAAAAGAGAAACAGTGTACTTATACAAGGTAGAGGTGTTTTTGTAAAAAACTAAGAATTATAGTTATGGTTTTGACCGAGTTTTATTTCTGAAAGTTGTTCAACCGCGAATGAATTTCCTGGCACTAGATGTTTTGTCGATTTTCGGGTGTTACGGAGGAATTGCATGACATTAAAATTTATACTTTTTTATTCATACTGATATTTAAATTTCCCTGAGTCACCAAGATAAATTTCAATCTTAGTGACAAATTGCTTAGTTTATCTGGAACAACGAGTATACTTTAAATTTTTAAATTAGTTAAACTTAGTTAGTTTATAGACTCATTTTATGGTAATTGTAAATATTTATTTATTTTTTTTTTATGTCACAAAAATGCTGTACCAAAACCATATATTGACTTTTTATTCAAATGTATAAGTTTTTATATTTCGTATAAAACAAATTTAGTTATGATTAATGCTTTTGTTGACTCATTATTTTTCAATTATGGCACATTATTATGTTTTTACAATCAGACTAGACAATTTTCTATTTAAAACCTCAGTGGTGTTCATTCACTGGTGATGTTACCCTATTAGATAATACAAGGATAATAAACGATGATGTAATATACATGGACATTATTATTATAATGGTACACTAAACTTAATTAAAAATATATAATATTAATTTTTTATAATCAAATATGCTGCAATGTCTATTTTCTAATTAAAATTTATTGTATTCAAATAAGTTTGTAAATATTTCCATTCTAATTACTTCTATACTAATTTTTGACATTACGACGTCATCAGTACTTTTTTTAAGTCCTAATATTCGGTTAGGAACTCATAACCATATTTTATTGTAGCAAGTACAGTGACGAACAGACTTGTATAGAGCTAATATACCAGCCGTCGCCAGGTATATGGCGATCGGAGTATATTGTGTTGGTCACGATTAGGTCAAATGTTAAGTATGGAGCTTCTTATCGAAGATATCATCCACTTGCGGTCAAGTAGGCACCTAAAATCTTATATTGATTTATTGTCATCTGTTATGTATAATAATAAATGGGTTAAATATTTAAGGCCCCGTTAGACGAGGAAAATAATGATACAATAATAATAAATATAAAAAAATGATTTCTTTATCACATTTTAATTTTAAGGACTTAAAAAAAATAGATGTGTCACTAATAGTTTAATTTAAAATTCTCTAGTGGTGTATGATTAGGTACAGTGATGTAACAATGTTTTTTTGAATAAGGAAAATATCAAAAAGCTATCATAGCCAAAAATAATTTCTGGTAGTGGTACATACTGAAATTTTATATTTTATACCTCAAATATTTTTATCTATTACCAATGCTCCCCTCCTCGAAAAACATTTGTTCAGAAAAGTACATTATCGTTTTGTACATAAAAAAACCTAAAATGTGGATATCAATATTATAGTTTGTTATTGGCGCCTTTAAACATTTTTTGTCTGTTACTATAGTTGTTCTGGAGATCATTATATAAAAATTAACAAATGGACGACACATACGTAGTACCAGCTGTTAGACATATTAAAGTTATTTATCGTTGAAAATAATTGTAATATTTAATTGTTTGTTATTTTAAGTTATGTATTATTTAATTTTTTTGGGGAGTCGCAAAGTATATGTTTTAATTTTGATTTTAGTAATTATTCATAGGTCTATTTAAAATTAAATACACTCTATAGCTAACAATATTATTAAGTTAATTTTTTTAAAAAGTTAATTGGTATAATTTTTATGCAGCTCTGACCAACAAAATCCATCCAGCTATTAACACAAACTGAGTCATTTCTTTAAAATTAGATCAGCACATAATGGATTGGTGCCAAAATTGTGTTTGGCCAGAATGATCAATTCGTTAACAACAGTCATGAATGAAATACTAGCTTATATAAGTGTAACTTGTAAACACGAGAAACAAGAACTACCTTAATATATAGAGACATGTGTTCAGAAAATTTCAAAATGAATTATTATATGTTTTTTTTCAAAATTAACTACGTGGATGATTAAAAATACCTGTTTATTTTAGTAGAAAAATTACATTTTCAATTGTTGAAAATATAATTTTGATTTTTTTCCTTGCTGTGTGAAAAATCTTGTGATCAATGACACTTTGATATTTTAGATAAAAAGGCTCATCGTTCAAACCTCATGACAATATCGTTATATTCTTTGGCTATTGTATTATTTGTTATGTACATATTGTCATCAATTCAATTCGAAATCAAACTAATGTGGTCGTGAAATGAATTGATCGTCAATAATTGAACTCTAAAGTTATAGTATAAGGTAACGCGCACATCATACGTTTTTTTAAGCGTTCAATAAGTGGGCGTGAATCTTCCTACGAAAACGTTTTATGAAATTACCATAATAAATGGTTTTGCTCATTTCGAAGTGATATGTGGTTGAATAACAGCTAACCCTTCTCGATTTTTGTAATGCTTACCGGTTCATCGCAACCCATTCCATGTTGTTCGTGCACACCGTAATATGTTGATTTATGCAAAACTGGAGCGTTTTGTGCTGGACAGTTTCACGACACTTTAGTGTCACGAACGGGCACGCGCATTTTTATTTGTGTGCTGCTATATGTATGTATATACACGTGTAAAAAACATAATACACGGGTACAATAATATCATATTATATGCAGAGGTTGTTTTAGGGCAACCCCGCCAGCGACGGGTAGCCTCGTACTCATGAAAGCTAAGAAAAGGGTAAACAGATAAAAATCGCTGTACATGGCCCGTGGGAATGAAATGCACGCGGGTTTTTTATCAAACATGGAAATATCGTATTGTCTCCTCCACACACGTATTCGCGGATATCATTTTTTTTCGATCGACTGTCGACAATTATTTTTGTCGCGCGCATATAATCAAACGTAGAGCTTAGATTCATAGCTTTCTTAACGAACAACTATATTTTACTGTAGTTGTCTCATAACAGCCTCGTATAGCATTAGCTTGTCATAACAAACGCACGTTCACTGACCCGCAAGTGACGTTTATTATTACCGCAACGATATGATTCGGATTGATGAGGTGATCTCTTTTGTGGCCTCGAGAGATCTCTGTGTTATTAGTACATCCGAGTATTTGTGGTTTGTTAGAAGAAAAAAAATGGACCACCTTGTGTGTTCCAGAAAATGATGTAATTTATTAAAGAGCTTAATTTAAGCAGGATTCTTAACCAAATAAAAATTACATTTACTTTTAATTATTATTTTTGACCGATAGATAACACCGCCCCCTCAAATGTGACTCTAGTCCTCCAGTTCGTGTTATAATAACATACGAAGTCGATTTAAATTCTAAAATGGCAATGCACTTGTTTGCTTATAAAATTATTTTGTAGCATCGTTTATTTTTTTATCTTATTATTAATATTAAATACGATTAAAATCAACTATTTCAACTTGGTTGATAACAATTGTTATGTTATTTGCGAATATCGTTGAAATGATTTCGAGAGTGGGATTGAATAAATGTAATAATTTATATGGTAGATACCAAAAGTGTTCTGTAAAACACAAAGATGTACCAATAATACATTGAGACAGACTGAGTGTACCAGTTTTATTAAGGAGCCGATATCGCGATGGCCCGTAAATCGTACTCGTGTCGTCCGAGCGCATTTCTTTTTTTATCTATCTTTTCACGGCCCGCAGACATCTTCATACAGTCTGCGCGTGTATTTTAACTATATGTATCACTGTAAACGTGCGCATTTAATTAAAATTCATTTCGTTTTCCTTCAAATTGTTTCAGGGCTCAATAGAAGAACACACTTGTTTATTATGATCACGGGCCGAGCATAGCAAATCGAGATGACCCTATCGTCATCACGCATCCGTTTTTTAGCCGCTTTTCTATTATGCACGTTGTGTGTAGTAGACGGGTTCAATGTAGATGTCAAGAACTGCATGAGGTATCAAGGGCCCAGAGGGTCTATGTTCGGGTTCAGCGTAGCCGAACACAAGGAAAGAGGACGTTCATGGTAAGTAAACTAATTTTGAAATCATAACAGTTCGATCATGGCGATAAAATAGTTTTGTACTGGCACTTGTCATTTGCTCGAAATCGAATCTATTATTTAAATTTATTGTCGTATTGTTAATGTGTCATTTATTCATTGTTATTCCTCACACAAACCGATACGAACGTGCAATATAATTAGCAACGTGTACCTCTCAGTTACCACGTAACAACTGTGTTAGCGTTCTACGACACGATGGCATAATATCTCCATTTTAACATATTTGGTAAGCCGTAAAAAAAGCATTACAAAATTTTGTCGTACTACTAATTTAGTTGCGATATTATTCTCTTTCGTGACCCGAGTTCTGACATTTAAAGCTAAGCGCAGACACACAACATCATTAAGGGCAAACAATGACATTTCACGAGTAAATTTTTGCCGAACATCCACAATTGTATTGAAAACCATTAAAATATTCTCGAAAAAACATTCAATCGATCATTTATTTAGAGTGATCGACTTTCTTGCGGAAAATTATAAATAGTAGTATGGAATTTTCTATATTATCTCTGCTGTAAAATTTGTTTTCCACTCGTGTCATTATTCTTATTGATAGCGATATCAGAGACGTATTTAAAGACAATCCACGACACTAACCAGTTATTTATGCTTATATGGATTCAGGCTAAAATAAGTAGATACGTCATGCTTGGACGATCACGTCCGCGAAATAGTATAGTCGTGGAATATGCGTCATATCGACCAGTATTACTACATGACCAGAGTGATATGAGATATCCTCCTGTAGTTCTTAAACTATTGAGAATATACGTACCCAGGTATAATGTAAGGATTTTTCACGGCTAGTCCATTAAAATTCTAAACTACCTTACGCAAACCCCCTCTGGTTTCAATCGTCTCGGTATATTCCGCTCTGCATTAATTGTACTGTAGGCTTTTTATGAAATATATCAATTAATTGAGCTATCCAATACATTTGAGAGTTATTTTATCTTTTTCAATTCTTATATTAGCTATAATAAAACTCATAACTACAATAAAAATCAATTATACAATTAACAAATACATATATAATGTACTAAATGTTTGTGAAAGTTTTCTTTTGCATATCTGTTGCGCTAAAGTTGTCTGTTAGGTTATAGCCTGGCTCCCATCGATATTGATTTAATTAGACAATTTAAATTATAACCGTGTGTTATATTGAAGTAGATAATCATGTATGGAATACGTTTCGCGTAACGCGTCTGGAGAGGAGTATTGAAATTCATGAAATTTGCGTAGGACGCATTTTAAAAAAAACATCTTCCGTTTATCGAGACGATCTTCCATTTATTTAACTTACTCATAAAAATGATAAAATTTGCAAAACGGTGTGGTTATTTGATGGAAATTCTTGTTATTCTCATTTGTACCTGTTCGACTGGGCATGGTTGAAGTATTGAGATACCGAACTATTAATAAAGTAACAATAATTGTTACTTAATGATTAATTATTATTCATAATACCTCCTTGGTATTTTTATTTGAATTTTAGTATCGGCAGTACAACTAATTTTAAGTTTTATCGAATCATAAGACCCAACTGTTTGTAGAGATTCAATGATAACGTTTTCGAATAAGTTGAATTTTTTTGTTGCTAAAGTAATTACTCATTCTTAACTATCTTTGAAGTTTTAGTGTTTATCGCGTCTACAGTAAATTTGGAATGGTACGGAGGTTGGCGGCGGATAGTAAGGGAATTGGTTGAGAGGGTTGAGTCCAACGTGTTCCCCTCAGATATTATCCTTTTTTACTCCCACATGACTTCCGCCATCTGGACCAGACTTTATCCATTAGCCAAGAAACCGTCATCACGTCCATTGACACTACATAGCGTATTGACGCAATTATGACTTGCAATTAAAACTTTTTTACTAGGTATAATGTCGTTTAAGTAGTTTATGTTACCCACACATACAGAACTAATGCGACGTATAATGACGCGGTTTATTTTTATACATCATTGTTCGATGGTTAAGAAGTCGTTTCTGAAGTTTAAGTTGTACCACTTAAGTAATAATTTTTTAACATATAAATTACTCGGCGTACGAGATGGACGTCGACCATGTCTTTTGTTTCCGTTTTAACGTCGCCGACTGAATATTTTATTATAATTGAACATGCCGATGGATGTGACTGTCTTAGTTAAAAGGTAGGGGAAAATCAAGATTAACAAACGTATATCGTTTCATTTTATACGAATATAATCGCTGTACGTGAACGGACAAGCGCCAAAATGTGCACACGACATACAAAAGAAGATCCATTGTGTCAAAATTATCCAAACCGAGTTACGATTTTAATATTCCAATGAAATATTTATTGTCGGTTTATGAAGAACTCCAGTGTGATTTCTGCAATTGGCGGCCAGCAAGGATTAACAAATTACATGTCTTTCGCGAGAAATTTTCCAAATTAATTCTAATGTGCTTACCGAACAAAAACTAACGATAATTTTGTTTAGTTGCCAGTTAGAATACCGTTTACACAATTAATGAATCAATTAAAATTACATTTGATAAGATTATTGGTAAAATGTGTTTGCTTATCCGCCTTTATGGATTTTAATTTCGCATTAATAGTTACTACTTAAGTATGTTTGATTTTCGATGTTTATAATTCTGCTTTATAAAAGCTCATTAAAAAATTAATGTCGACATATTTTTCAACAATGTGAACTCATTAAAAACTGAAATCGGACTCAAAAGTTATTTTCTATACAATATTTTATTTAATGTCGTGTGGACTAAAGACGTCTTAACCCCTTTGAGTAACTTTAGCTTTAGAGTCGCATTGATTTTCCAGCAACCAAATTCACTTGAACGGACAAACGAAATGTTAAACAGTGACCTTTTGCACATTCTTAGTGTATAAATACTAAGCGATCCTTTCGACATTTTTTGTTCCGTAGTAGTAGTCATTAGACAACTATTCTAAAGGCGACGGAACCGACTATCAGTCTGTTTGCCACCCAGCAGTACTTTATTTTGTTTGTATACGTTTCTTTGAATCATTAGCCAGTAAAATTCCACAGACAGCTGCCGGTCTCGGTGCTCCTCTCGAGTCTCATCCATCATGACCGTCTCTGATTGAAATATAAACAGGGAGAGAACGCTTTTAATACAGGAGGAGGCCGTGCAGAGTTATGGTAGCACAACATCACGCCATTTCAATAGGTCTTTGATGAAGATGAGGTAGTCGCCCTGAGGATCAATTATATACTTGTGCCGTACGTATATACTTTTATTGTGCCTATTGTCGATACGATGACAATGTTGCTCCTGAAAACGGATTATTCCGTCTCAACGAACGATTAACCTGACCGGTAAAAATATACTCTGGATAAAAAATAATGTTTTTACAATTTTTTTTCCCCCCATACGAGCGGTTACTCGTGTTATTACACACAATGGAAAGCACAACATATGGTACGCGGGATGGAATCTGACTCACGAATGAAATGCAAATCAATAGTGTATAACATAATATAAATAGAGTTGTAGTTATTTTTACGGCGAGTTGCCGTTGAAACAATTATCTGTTTCATAAAAACTGTAGAGTATCTATAGGTATTAGGTATTTGTACAATTACAGGTTGTCACAAAACAGTCGTTCTGTAATGTGAAATTTGCATATTTTTTGAAATGCTAGATATTATAATTTATTGCTGAAAAAAACTACATTATGTTGTGTGCAGTCTGAACAGAAGCTCGAAACAATGATGGCGTATCAAATCTGACAAGTCACAAGGAGTGTATTACATGATTATCGTTTGACTGCATTATACAATTTACTGTGTGTTTTATGCTACGACAATTTTATCAGATTAAAGGATATTATGCAGTGAACCGAATAAACGTTTGTCTAATTTCCAGGGTTACGATTTAAAATGTAATGGGGCCATATGGTTAGGTCGTGAGCGCTTTGAGACCATTGTAGACCTATAAACGAAGCACCCCGACAGTTAACGGTGGGTTTTGTTTCTCCTACCTTTTTTAACTCGCCCAGATGATCTTTTTCGGAAGCATGACTTGCTGAAGATATTAAGAAAATAAAGAGACACCATGTGTGGTTCGGGTTCGGCGTGCAGTTGTTTAGATGGTAAACTTAGTCAACGACATGGTTAAAAAAACAGAATTCATATAAATGTTATTATTGTGGTAAAATGGAGAAGAGATTTTGGCAAACAATCCGATATTTCTATTGCTTATAATTATAAGTGTACACAAATAGAAAGTCCAGTTCATGTTTTATTACTATATGAAATAACTGTGTTCCACTTAAATTTTTAAAAATATGTTTGCCATCATTACACTTTTCGATCTAACTTTGAGCGTATAAAACGTACAGCTACTTCAGTTCAAACTTTGAAGTAGAGAAACGTTTTTGCTATCCATCCGACTTTGATAAAAATTATTCATCTATTGCGGACGATAATTTATATTTCTCGTTTCTAAAAATTATATTCGGTAGAAATATCTACCGAGTAACATTGTTCAGATTATAGTAAAATCGATCGTTGTGTGTACGTTAAAAATATTGGGTACATTTTAAACGGCTATGCACATGTTTTCCACATTTTACGATGCGTACATTTTGTACAAGAATAACCTTTTGGTTTCCTTTGTTTAATTTGATCTGTAATCCAACGGAGTGAACGGTTAAAACTGAAAGTTCAATACTTTTACACTTGGAAAATTCAAATTTCTTACAATAAACGTTAAGTGTAAATTCGAGTGAAAAAAAAACAAATAACGTAACACTGAAATTAATTATTAGTTACACGCAAATCGATTATCGAATTACTTCAGTAACTTTTAAAACAATGTTTAAATGTAAACAGTTTTAATGCGTAAACAAGAAATAAAAATATTTTACACCAATAAATTGAAATACGTGCAGTTTATTGCAGTTAATAGGAAATTCTAATTTAATGTTAAAAAGTAGTCAGTCTAAAG